TGGGGGAGGGTGATGTTCAATATGGGGCCATGCAGTTAAACTACATTGATGATACTACCTCATAGAGCTGATTTACTTTTGGGAATTACACAAAGTAGAAAAAAAGTTGAACAGTTTAGTTTTTGATTTTTAAAAAAAATATATTATTCAGACATGAGTGATGCTGGTTCCATTTAAATTTCTACATTTCATTTAAATAACAGCTCTTTAGGACTTCTCTTTTTTTATATCAGAAAAATAACTTGTATGAGATACATTCGATAACTGAGTAAATTATTTCACAGTCTAAGGCCCGCAAAAACAGAACAAGTAGTCGTGTTCAAAAAGCACAGAAGGTAAGACATGAAATATGTGCTGTCACTTTTACTTACACTACAACTCATGCAAATAAGAATGGGTCTTGTAGAAGAAATCCCAGTGACTCTTAGAAGAATAAAGGGCCCAGTTTAAAATAATAACTCTGCTTTCTCAGCCAGCTTTTATATTATCTAACATTGCTTTAATTTTCCTTCTTCTCAATGAGACAAAACTAATATCTTTACTATTGGGACATGGTTTTTAACCTCTTGAAATTTACTTATCACATTTAAAGTCAACTTTTTTTGTTTCCCTTGCTTCAGGTTAAATACTCAATAAAACACCACAAATAATTAATAGGATATAAATTTTTTTATCTAAATTTTTTTATCTAAATTTGTTTATCTATTCACTTCTGTGCCTTGAGTCTATAATGTTCATTTATTTATACTGCTATGTCCTATTGATAAGTGCCATTAAATAATGCAATCTCATATATTCATCACCCCCACGTCCTGTTAAAAAAAAAACCTCACATATGTATATAGTGCTTGCTGTTATCTCTCCAATGTAAAGTCCATTCCTTAGTTTAACCTTTACCCTAAGTGAAACAAGTTAAAAATATTTAAAAATTAATTTGTGTCAGTGTTATGATAAAATTATTGGTTAGTTTGCTTTTCCCTACCCCATCGTCTTGTCAAAATGATTGCAAATTTTTTGGATATGATGTGGCAATGTGTGGCAAAATTTCTTGATAAATTTTTTTATTATAATGCATGTTTATAATTATTAAAACTGAAATGGTTGTACAGTGAAATGCAGATAAATTATGACATATGCCATTTAAAAGACTGTCTTTTCAACATTTGACGAAGGGGACAAGAGTATTTAATATCTGCATCAATGGTTGTGTGTCCCTGGGTTAAAAATAACAAACTATACGGTGACATTTTTAAAAAGAAAAACAGATACATTGTGCTCTTTACACCATCCCCTTTTTTAAAAATTTTCTTCCTAAGTATTTCATGGTTATTATGGGGTGCAATTGAACACATTCACCTTTCTTGCTAAGTCTACTAGATTTCAGGATATTTTGTCACAGGTCATGTCTTTCCCCATCCTGCATGTCCAGTACATTAAAGATTTTGAAATTGAATGGAACCATTATATCATAAATCTTAATGATATTAAATTTAAAATGATTAGCTAATTGTCATTCAGTGATTTAAATCAAATAGATGCCACAAAAGTTTAGCAGATGTAATTATTGAGGAAAAATAATGCAATAAATCTGGTCCAACATTCTCCAGCCATCTGTATATGTTTGATGTTTGTTCTGTCTGTATCTTACAGAAAAAAGCTGCCATAAAGTCCAAAAATGTAGGTTGAGTTGAAATCACTCATTAAATGCAAGTAAAACTAACAAAAATTGTGACATGCTCGCCAATGGTTTGATAGATTTCTAGCAGTTCCTTACCCAGGATACTCAGAGTTGGTCATTTTTTGCAGAGAGCCGCTTTTAACCTGTTAACTCACTAACTCTTCTGTGCATGTTAATATAAATTATTATTAATTATTTTTCTCAAAAGAATGGCTTTTTTTGTGGATGAATCCAACTTTAATTATTAGGATAATAGTTTTCTTTAAACATTTAAATAAGATGTTCCTTCCTTCAAAAGGATGATCAAATATTGTCTGATAAATATCATTGTTTTTTTTTTTTTAAGCAATGGAAGGGAGAGAAGTTTTTTGTTTTACTTTCAACAGCAAGATAAATTCTTTTACTAATTCTGCATTATTAATTAGTTTTTAATGTGACTGAGTTTTTCTACATTGCTCATCTTATTTAGAAACATAGTCACCTCTTGAATAACTGTTACTACCTGTTTAATAACTACTAACAAAATCCATACTAGAACTTGTAGTTCATTCTTTAAATTAAAAAATCAGCCCATTATGTTGTATTTTGACAAGTTTAAAAATCAATTTTTAAATTATTATTTTTTATACGCAGTACGTTTTTTTACTGTTCTCATCACCTTGTTCTTAAAAAAAATATTTACTCAGTGGACCCAGGCCAATTCAGTAGATCATTGATCTTAGCTAATAAATGGAAACTCAGTACACTTATCAATCGAAAAGAAAAAAAAATGTTGACATATTTATTTCGCATGAAATTATATTCCCTAGGAAGTTTTTATTATTTAAAATGATGAGTAATTTATAAAAATGAATTTTTATTGGCATGCACCAAAGACCCTCTAATCATCCACGCTGGATTTTAAAAAATACTTTCTAAAATATTAATTTACAGTGTAATTGATACATTTAGAAAAGCCCCAAGAAAAAACAGCAAGCTTGCAAATATTTAATTGATTTTATTTGTCATTGTATGTAGTGTTATAAAGTGTAAAGCCATTGTCATATTGAATTGATCAATGAAGTTTGGCAAATATAAATTTTTAGAAAAATGCCAAGAATGATTCACATTTAGCTTTGCATTACATCAGGAATTCTTAACTTGTTGATAAAAATCATATATGGCAATATTAATTTTTAAGAGCACAAACAGAGCACCGTCATACAAAAGCGGTGTCCCAAATCCCATAAAAGTTCAAAATTTAAAGGTTTAGTAAAGGTTAGGGCTGCATTTAATATATATTAAAGATATATATATCATATGAACAAACTAATATGTTAAAATTGTCCAAGTGGGCCGTTTTGTGGCGCAGTGTTAGGAGGGGAGGGTGTTGGTTAAGTACCCCTTTGTCTAATATGCAGAAATGAAACTTGAAATTTTTTTTAAAAATTGCCTTCAGACTTCATTGATTTTACTTGTGTGAGCTTTGAGTCGACTGATTTATTTTATTTAATAAGCTTTATAAAAAAAAGATTTACATTACTGCCAGCAGGTTACCCAGGAGTTACAGAGACGGCAGGAGATCCAGAAACAGCAGGACAGTGAGGCCATGCCCCCACCTCCAGCTCCCCCACCACTACCCCCTGGGGAACATTATCCGGATGGTAGGATTGTCTCTTTTGCTCAGTGTCTTTTTTGTAGGATCTTCCTTTGATCTGTCATAGCTATATTAGGTGAAATGGGAAGTTGGCTACTTAGTCATAAACAAATGAGTAAAAGTGAAGGGCTTCAGTGGTGTGAATAAAAAACTTGAAATACTATTGTAGTTTTGTGGATTTAAAACTATTTACTACATTGAAATAATATTGTAGTTTTGTGGATTTAAAACTATTTACTACATTGAAATAATATTGTAGTTTTGTGGATTTAAAACTATTTACTACATTGAAATAATATTTTAGTTTTGTGGATTTAAAACTATTTACTACATTGAAACAATATTTTAGTTTTGTGGATTTAAAACTATTTACTACATTGAAATAATATTTTAGTTTTGTGGATTTAAAACTATTTACTACATTGAAGTAATATTGTAGTTTTGTGGATTTAAAACTATTTACTACATTGAAATAATATTGTAGTTTTGTGGATTTAAAACTATTTACTACATTGAAATAATATTGTAGTTTTGTGGATTTAAAACTATTTACTACATTGAAACAATATTTTAGTTTTGTGGATTTAAAACTATTTACTTTGTAGTTTGTATTATAAAGCTTCACCTCACTCACTTGTGTACACAGATACTTAAGTTCTTTTAATCTGCCTAATGACCAATTAGCATCCTTATTATTACACCTCACAGGTTCTAGTCCTGTCATGAGCCCTCATCCCGGTACTAGTCACTACCCAAGACTGTCATGGCAAGAGGATGGTAGCAAGCCAGCAGGCGGACCAGCCCCTCAAGAGCATCAAGGTTCTCAAAATGACCAGGTGTTTTCACCACCAACTTCGGGCATGTCTCAGGACCCTTATGCTTTTCCATCACCCAGTCAGTCGGATCCTTTTTCTTCAGCACAGCCTAGGCCCATCCCAAGGCCATCTCATAGACTGCCTGGGGTCCAAGCGTTTGGGGCGTCAAGCCCCCGTGATGATGAAGGATTGTTTACGGCCCCTGGGATGGGGCCTCGTGTACGACCTAATTCAGAAATGTTTGCTCAAGGTCCTCCAACACCTGGGCAGGATATTTTTATGGGAGGACCAAGGAGGCTGCAAGGTAAGCTTGGTCACATTTTTTTAGACGTATCTTGAAAATAGTGGAAATTTAGCAAGGCTTCCCCCCCACCCCACCCCCAGTACTGAGTAAAAAAAAAAGACCCGCAGCTAGAGTATATATAGGACTGTCTGTAGGACTTTTGTTTCAAGGCCAGTAGGTAGGGTGGAGGACTGTCTGTAGGCCTATTGTTTAAAGGCGGCATATATTATAGAGAATGAGAAGTTTTTTGTTACACTTGAACCCAATGGGTATTTTCTCAAAATACCTGGACCTGGTGTAAAAAAAGTGCACCTGGTTAAGCCTTTGTTTGTATTATTTTATTTAAAGTGTTTTTTTTTCTTCAATTTTGTTTGACCCTTGGAATATTGATAATTCATCCCAGTGTGCTATATGTTCCCTGGTTTAAAACCTTAATATTAGTTAAATATGCATATTATTCCACACATTCCAGATCTCATTACTGTAAAATAAAAGCTCTATGTAATGTTGTGCAAATACTTATTTAGGAGATATAGTCTTTATTATTATTTATTGATATGTATATCTTGGTCACTGCCATCGCTCTTTAGGCCCTGCACCACGTATAAGCATGCCTGGCACAGCTGATGCCTCTAATCCCCTGGGAGATTCCAACCAGCCCAGAGCTTCAGTAGATCCCTATGCATTTCCACCAAACACGCCACAGACTCAAGCACAGCAAGATGATCCATTTATATCTCCTGGGCCGCTGACCCCTGATCCTTTCAACCCTGGCAGACAGAGAGGGGATATGTATCCTGGGGGTTCTCCTCAGATGAGACCCCCATTGACTCCCACATCCATTGGTCCTGGACAGGGGTCACCATACCCTGGTTCTCCCGTAAGAATGTCAGATCCAACATTCAGGTGAATATTGAAACATTAATTAAAAAAAAAACAACTCTCCACCTCTTAGATTTTTAATCACTAAAAATAATGTCTGTCAAATTTGAAAATTGTAGTTTTGAAATAATGTTACTTGCATGAACTTCATCCCCACAAGAAATATGACAGAAAAAATTAAACATACCTTCACTTAAATTCATTAGACACCCCCTGGTTAGATCCAACAGTCTGCCAGATCCTTACAACATGCAAATGGGCACCCCTCGGCCACAAATGGACCAGCCTATGCATCACCCCATGGGAGAAGTGGGCCCTGACACTATGCAGATGTTCCGAGGGGGGAGGATGCCCATGCAACTATCAGAGGTAAGAGTCTTTAAAGTTTCAAGATTTTATATTATCTCTTTTCATTTGTTCACATCTCATGTCCTAAAAGGAAGTTGCCCATAATAACTTTGTTCGAAGAAAAAAAATTTCTAGTGGGGGATATGTACGCATGACTGCAGGGGCATGTCATTATATTGAATTGTAGCAAATACTTATGTTTAAGTCGGTGAGGATAAAAAAAAAATTAGTTTCAAGGTTGCTGAATGATGGGCATAATCCTAACATGTTCAGTTTTTATGAAATCAAAATATGAAAACAAATAACTAGCAAAGCAAAAGTATTAGCATATGTCTGTTGTTCTTTTTTTTTTTTTTTTTTACATCTGGTTTTAATCACATGGGCTATTTTGTAGATCACACCTATAGTTTATTTATCAGGCCTTTAAATTGGTAGAGTTTTGAATAATTTTTTGAAAAAAATATCATTTACTTATTTTTTTTTTTTTTTTTTTTTTTTTTTACATCTGGTTATAATCACATGGGCTATATTGTAGATCACACCTATAGTTTATTTATCAGGCCTTTAAATTGGTAGAGTTTTGAATAATTGTTTGAAAAAAATATCATTTACTTTAAAGTAAAATTTTCACTAAAAGTTCCACTAATTTTTTTTGTCTAGAGGCTAATTTAGATAAGCCTTATACAGTTTATTGGTCTGATAACTTTGCCATTTCATTTTATTTTCTTAAAATTTGAATGTAATTCTTTTCTCAATGCTTTAGTGTTTATTTAATGGCATACCTCTATTTTGAAAAAAAAAAGAAGAAAAAGATACATTTACTTGCTTTTGTAGTCTTTTTTTTTCTCCCCCCTATTGTTAAACAGATCTTAAGCCAGTCTAGTTGTCCTATCTCTCATTTTTTAAGTATATGTAATATGTAATGTTGTTGTTACATTTAAACAAATGTTTTTTAAATTATTTTTTTTATTGGAGCTCCATGTGCTCCAGTATTTTTCTAAACCTTCATCTCAAATGAGCCGAGAAATTAACAGTTTTAATAATTAGGTTTTGTCAAAGTTAGCATTACTCAATTCGCTTCATATTTTGCACTGCATGTAAACAAGTATTAACAGAAGAAACATTAAGGAGCCCTAGAACATGTATTCTGGAAGAACCCCATGAGTTGTATCAGTAGTTTCAGAAATAATAAAACCCAAGTGAATTGGCTAGTACTAGATTTAGAATTTGTGCTGAGCTGTAACCAATGTTTTACACACTATAACAATATTTACTGCTACAAAAAGTACAAATCTAATGACTGAATGTTTACTACTAGGCTTGCTGTTTGTGTGTGTGACCTAACATCAAGTCAGATGAACAGTCATCTGAATTGATTGTTGCCTTGAATGAGAATGCTTCTTTGTTGGTTTTTTTTCTTCCTGATAATTTCTTTTTATACTAGATTTTGTCTAGCAGGAACTTTTTCTAGAAGATTAAAATGTCAGTAGAGTAGATTAATTACATACATATAATTATTTTTATAAGTTAAAAAAAAAGGGGGGTTTTAGATTTAAAAAGCACAATTTATTATAGGTAACTTGACCTTATTGAATGATCCTTTTACAACTACTATTTAAATAATTCCCTTCAAAGGTTTTCAAAAGTTGCTATTAAATCCTAACTGGTTATGCAAATATTGGAAATGTTTTCTTATGATTCCCAGCTGCGTGTGAGAAATTACTTGGCCAATTTGGATTGTAAAAGCGTGGCTCTTGAAAGTAAAGAAAAAAGTTATTTTGCAAGTGCAAATTCAAGAATTTTTAATTTCACTTTATTTATTCAAGAAATGTGTTACATTTAATGAACTAATGTTTTTTCATGGTTGATTTGTTACTTCTTCCGAGTGTTAGAAAGGAGATGATCAAAGTTCACTGGGGTCTCAAATTGAAGCTATCAGATAGGCAATCAAGATGATAATGTAACGTCCTACCACTCGGAATACCCCACATAAGAACTTTATAGTAGCTCTCAAATATTACAGTATGTAGCACCGATCATTTTGGGGGCAATAGAATAAAGCTGGGAGGACCCATTAAACTGGAGGCCTCATTGAGTTTGAGATGCCTACTGTAGACATTGAGGGAAAAAGTCCAAGTTCCATATTCTTAACAAAAAAAAAAATCTTTAAGTTGAAAACTTGAATAGATCTATTAAAAAATTAAAACCTTTCATTTAGCTTATTGCATTCATTGTTAAAAAAAAGTTTGTTAAAATTTTGTTAGTGGAATATAGGAGTAATAAGTTATAAGAAATTCTGATAACTCACGTTCCAGAAATATTAGGCATTTTTTAAACTGCACGACAAGCTTATAACAAAAAGCAACAGCACCCAACACGTTTTTTTCTCACATTTTTACATTTTGTTTGTGGTGATTTCCTTAATGCTCTTATTAAATCGTACTTTTTCTATCTTTCAACTTTCTTTTTTTTTTTTTTTTCATTCTCTTTCTCTATCTGTTTTTTTGTTTTTTTACTAATATTATTTCTATATAAACATCTGTGTTTTTGTTACTCACCACTTTGCCTTAGCATCAGAATTTTTTTTTCTCTTTTTTTTTTTTTTTTTTTGTTGTTTTCCTTAATGCTCTTATTAACTCTTCCTTTTTCTTTCTTTCCTCTTTCTTTTTTTTTTTTTTTTCATTCTCTTTCTCTATCTGTTCTTTTGTTTGTTTACTAATATTATATCTATATAAACATCTGTGTGTTTGTTACTCACCACTTTGCCTTAGCATCAGAGGCCTATTGAGATGGCCCTCAGGCGTAACAATCTATTACCTCGGTCGCCATGGGCTTTCCCTTTCATGCTTAACTACCCGGTAAGTCTGTGGCACCCAAAACCCAGCTAACCCTTTAACCTTTGACCCACGAACTCCTGAACCTGACATGTAACAACCTTGACCAATAAGTTAAACAAAATAATCTGTGCTTGCCTTATTTACTCAATTTATGCTTAACCAGTCTTTTTTTACTTTTTTTTTTTGTGTGTGTGATTAGTTAACCTCTTTTAAGAGAGTGAAAAAGTCACAGAAAAATGTCATCTATTAATGCATGGGTTGGCATTTTTAATTTTTTATTTATGTAATGGGTCTTAAATTGTTTTAAATTTAACCCTGGCACTGTAATCCATTATATTTTTCATTAAATACTTAATGTGATCAAATTGTATAAATATAGCACTTTCAGTTTAATTAATGTAAATCAGCTTTTTTGGAGTTGTGACTATCATTAAATTTTGAGAATTAAAACCCTTCGAAGACTTTGCCAAGAAATATTTAAGAAATGTATGTTAACAAAAATAGAATTTTTAACAAATTTTAAAAAGTAAAATCTCTGATGATAATTTCCAAATACATATGTAGGCCTAAGGTTGATTATATAAAAGGATTGGATAAGTAACTCCAATGTCAGCATTGTACATGCTAATAACTTCTGGCATGCTTTTCAGGACTACGACATTGTCATATTGCTTATGGGAAATCTCATACCCAACCCCTCCCTCACAAACACACACAAACACTATCCCACATAAATCTTTAATCTCTGCAATTTGTTTGGACAGTTCTTGTTAGTATCTCTATTCAGTTCCCACAAACTATATGTTTCACTGGTATATAATATATGCTTTGATTATACTGCATGGCTAATGTTTGGGGGGAAAAGGATGACATATCAGTTAAAGAAAGACAAAGCATACCTCTTAAGGATTGAAAAAAATTTAGTTTATTTTAGAAGAAAAAAAAAAGAATTTCTAGATTGTAAATTCCTTTTAAAATAGATGGAAGAACTAACATTAAAACATTTAACTGTTACATATTTCATAAACTTTATCTTTTGAAACATTCTATGCATTTGGTTTTTAAAATGTAACTATAAATTATTAAAGTCACCATAGAGGTATCTGAGATAAGAAATAATTGGAAATGATTACTCCTTATCAAAATGTCAAGTTCAATTAATTTGAAAAAATGTATCTGGACTTTGTTAGAAAAAAAAAAATAAAACATTGAAGAATAAATAAGTTGGGTTTTGGTCTAAATTTCCCATCTGGCCGGGAAGGTGAAAATGACCGAGTTATAAGTTCCTTTCTGCTCATAAGTAATGCCAACTCTAAGTGTCTACTTGCAATTTGTTTCTCCCTTTATACCAACTTGAACTGCCAACCCTTTCATATCTAATTACAGAGTGGGGAAACTTAAAATGAAATTCATTTGTATAGTTAGCGGCTGCTAGGGATGGGAGACTCAAAATCAGAACACTTTTACCATTTTTGTATATGAAGATAAAAGTAATAAAATGTATCAGTTAAAGTGTTGATGAGAAGAAGTTTGGATTACAATAAAGCTAAATGATATCAACTAAAATGTTTTGAAGTATCATGATGCTTTTCTGGCGATAAAACAAAACCAAAGAATGATTTGGCTAAAAGATTTTTTCCAGCCTTTGTGTTTTTTTAAGTTATTTAAAATGTTGCTAATTGCTCATTTTGAAAAAAGTTTTTTTTATTATATGTTTCAAAAATAATCTGGTAAAGTTAAAACATTCTTTTCTTTTGTTTTGTTTAGAAAATAAAAGCTTTTTCCTTAATTCATAATGGGATGATTTTTTCTCTGTATAGTTATCATGGAAAAGGTCTCAATGGCCACCATATTTAAGGTGCCAAGAAAAATTTTCATTAACCCCTGGTATTGTGGCAATCAGTGCATACAGATCTCAACTCCCTCTAAATGATTGTTACCTTTGCAGCTTTTATTAACACTGCATGAATGTTCCTAATGGTATGAGATGAATGTCATTAGAATATCTTGCATGGGGTTATTTCATCTTGTGCCTTGCTAACATTGAGATCCCTTTACCTCTCCTCCCTCCCTCCCCCCTGCATATATATATATTGTATTTATCTTGATGCATCTTGCATGTTCTAAGGCTGATCGGTTAATTTTAGATTTAAAAAAGAAATCCTGGCTTTGCTTTGGAATTTTTAAAAGTTATATTTATCTTTGAGGTATATTATTAAACATTGGAACATTGTTTCAAAAGTAACATTTTTTGGGGAATAAGTGCGTGGCAATAATTTCAGACCACTTATAGAGAATGATTTCATGTGGTTGATATTCCTTAATAATCATTTGAAGAGTTCTAAACCTAAAATTATATAAATTGCCTTATAACCCAAAAAGTTTTTTTTTTAAATAATCAATAAAGAACTAGTGACAAATATTTCACTGTTTGCATTACCTGTGTTTGTGTGTTAATTTCCCTCAATTTCAAATTACATTGAAACTTTCTTTTTAAACAAAAATTATGTTTATAATTGTTACAAGAAATTACTTTTCATCCATTTGTGTTTTGTGAGGAATGGTAAAGGCTGGCTCATTAGAAAAAAGAAAGAATAACATAGTTCATCTTCAATCAAAATATTCATCCAAGAAAAAAAAAGAACTGTTTTAACAATACCATTTTATAGAAAAAAATTATCTTTGTTTTTCACCTGTCTTAACCTATTTAACATACACAGAAAAACGACTGGTCATTTTTAAATTTTTAATTTAAAAAGAAGAATTAAATACAAATTTAATAAAAGAATTCAAATTTTAAAAAAAAAATGTTGTGTTGTAAAACAACTATCATATTTACCAGCCTTTTTTCAGAAATTGCTTTCTGTTTTTCATTCTTATAGGATGGAGGTGAGAATCCAGGTAACATACATCATCAGCAGTTACGGGTGATCTTAGGTCAACAGACTAAACAAAGAATGGCTAAAAAACAAGAAGAAGCCGAAAGAATGATGACAGGGCCTTCCTCTGGGTGGCAAGACGGGCCAGGTATGAGCAGTTTAGGTCCCTTCTTCTCAATGGACCAGTGCATGGAAGTGAACTGTGAAGTAGTCTGCCCATTGGATGGCAGCTGTATTAAGTGCCACTGAAACAAAATAAGATTTTCCGTGCTGGTGACGTCTACATATTTCATAAAGTCCGATCCATTTTCCATTGTAGTCCCAGCTGTACCTTTATCACAGCATTAAATCAAAATTATTTCATTACATTTTAAATATAAACAGGTGCAGCTTAGCACATTTCATTTTAGATATAAACAGGTGCAGCTTAGCACATTACATTTTAAATATAAACAGGTGCAGCTTAGCACATTTCATTTTAAATATAAACAGGTGCAGCTTAGCACATTTCATTTTAAATATAAACAGGTGCAGCTTAGCACATTACATTTTAAATATAAACAGGTGCAGCTTAGCACATTACATTTTAAATATAAACAGGTGCAGCTTAGCACATTTCATTTTAATTTTATCTGCTTTAAAAAAAAAAGTTAATAAAATGGTGCCTGCAAATTGAAGGGGGAAAAAATTGATGCTTTGCTTATATTTTTTTGTTGATTTATTGATATTGTTTACATCTGAGTCATATTTCCCCCACATTTTCTCAATCATATTAAAGCAATGTTTTTAATATCAGAGTGTGACTTATTATGGTAAAGCTGAGTCAGGCCAGATCTGATGGAAATGTTATGCCAGAGTCAGCTAGAATTGATACACTAAGGATGTTAAAATTTAGATTTTTTGCAATCACTGTAAATATTTTCTCCTCATGGTTAATTTAAGGAATAAAATAGTATAAAAGGAACCAATTACATTTAGAAATGTACATTTTTCTTTTTACTCTCTCTCTCTCTCTCTCGCACTCTCTCTCACACTCTCTCTCACACTCTCTCTCTCTCTCTCTATATATATATGGTTACCGGAAATTTGATGGAAAGAAATTTCGTCGACGGTAAATTGATCGACGGTAATTTGATCGAACAGAAATTTGGTCAAATCTTTTTTCCGTTCGCACGTTGAAATTTTCGTCAAATTTCTTTTTGAAGGCACTATACTATTTAGTAAAACAAAATAATTCGTTCAAAAAGAAATTTGATGCAAAATTGTTACGTAAAAATTGAAAAGAAGATTCGACCTAATTTCCGTTCGATCATATTACCGTCGACCAATTTACCGTCGACGAAATTTCTTTCGATCAAATTTCTGGATACGCCTCTATATATATATAACATACAAGAGTATGTTCTGTATTCTAATTAATTTTTTTTTAACAGAATGCTCTTAAAGGAATTTATTAAAAATATTTACCATTATTTATAGGCATTGATATTTTTGGTGTACCTTGTTCTAATAGTTAAATATTTAAATATGTTTTTAATTAAATATGTTTTTAAATTCTAGAAACTATTGAAGGATTTCCACCACGACCACCTTTCCGTGGTCCATCACCACATGGCTTTATGAGAGGACCACAGCCTGGCATGAATCCTCAAGGGCCTCGACCACCATTCTTCCCCAACTTCATGCCCAGACAACCTCTTTCAGAGCAATATGTAGGCTCCCCTCAGGTAACAGCTTTCTCTTCAACTCACTTTATCATTTTCATTCAACAAAAATTAGGTTTTAAAAATTGTCATCAGCATGTTGTCAATGATAAAGCTTAATTTAAAAATTTGTTTAATTAAATTAATGGGAAGCCACAAGAACATAATCAGCTCAATCTAGAAAAGTGGTTCTTAATCCTTTTTGCTGACGCTTAAAAAAGCAATAATTTTGGAGTATGGGTATTCACTTGTAATTGTTGTGCACCGAATATCGTGTTTTATTAATAAGGTGTGTCGTGTGTTTTTGTGTTAATGAACGCCTTTTGGCTTATGACTTTGGTGACTATATTTATTGTAAGCTGTGTCTATAGTCTGTGTTTGGTGTACATGCCATTCGTTTGGCAGTTGGTGAGAGACCATTGTAAATAAAAAGTTGTCCTATATTCTTCTACTTAAAGCTGCATTATACATGTGTTTGATTCATAGTGTACAGCTTGATATATATATTTCTGGAATAAAATTTACATTGCTATTTGAAATGGGATTTGTGTTCAGTTTGTTTATAAGTCATACATATGTTAGTTTGCCTTTTTTTTTTTAACAACAGGAGGCAATGATTGCAGATCAGCGCACACCATACCATTTACAGATGAGTGAATCGCCTGGTCCACCTGGAACACCCATTCAAGGGCCCCTTCATATGGTCAACTTGCCTCCATATCCATCAGCTCAGACACAACAGCAACAGCAGCAACCCATGCAGCAACCGCCTCTCTCCTTGACACCATCAGGAGTTGCTGGAGAAGGCCATCCAAGCATGGCCAGACATGTACCTGCGTCTCAACAGAGTGGAGAAGATGAGATATTTTCAGGTCAGTACCCAGGGGTATTAACAACAGATTTGTTAATTTGGAGTCAAAAGTCGTAAAAATTTCTCAGATCTAAATGATCTATGTTCCAAAGAATTGCTGTAAGTTTAAAATTCACCCATAAAATCAACTTGGTTTTGTAGCCATTTTGTATTGCAATATTGTGTTCAAATTAAAAAAATGTTGACTGAAGCTTTGCAAAATGTCATGCTGTCACATGATGGTAATAACTTTAACCTCGTGGTCATTATGTCACAGGTCCTGTAAGCCCACAAGCATCAACATCAAAGACACCAGTACCAGAAGACAGCACAGCTGTGGTTGAACCAGACACTTTGTTGGAAGGGATTGATGAGAAAGGCACAAAACCTTCTCTCTCATCTGAAGAAGATAAAAATGAAGATGATGACTTACTAAGTAAGTATATAGATTGCCACATTAAAGAAAATTACTCAGAAATGTAGTCTTTGTAAATTTTTCAGCCTTATTTTTAACAATTGTGAACCTAATAACTTGAGATTATACTGCACAAACTAGTTTTTTTGTTTTTTTTTTAAAGTAGAGAGAAGTTTAAATAACAAAACAAAGCACTGATAATTTCAGTTAAGGACCATTTTTGTTTCTCTTTTTTATGTCACTGCACAATGTCTCTGTGGTAAAAATGACTTGTAACTGGGACCTATCAGTGCTGTGTTTTGTCTTAAATATATGTGGTGAATAAGTCACTATTATCTCCTTTCTTGAAGCTCATGTATTCAAGGCTAAGACTTATTGATTTACCAGCTGATTAAAGAATATGTAATTTTCCTAAAACTTAGGTTGAGTTTTATTTGAAACAGACACAAATTAATATTGAGGAAACATTTTGAACAAAGAAAATTTGTTATGTTAACATTACCAGTATCAATTTCCTTAAAATTTCTTTTTTCCTTTTTTTAAACCTTACCCCACTTCTCTCTTTATTTCTTTAATTTTAACAAATCTTTATCCCCCAAATCATCAAACCTAGAATGGTTTTCCCCAGGCGCCGATGGAACATTTGACATTCTTAAGTACGCTGACCCAGATCTGGACTTGGATTTGGATGACAAAATGTTTGAACATTTGGATTTCATCGATGAGAGTCATGCTGGGGACCCCAAGAAATCTGACCAGGATAAATCAGATGACGTGTGAGTATCATTTCTTGTAACTGAAGTTTTAAAAAGATATCATTTTACCATGCATTTTTTAAATCTTAAGCAATAATAATATAATTTCATATTATTGAACTGTGATTTTTTTTAATAGGATACTGAGTTTTGTATGGCAGACCTGTTTACCCTCAAACTCTTAAAATCGTACAATATCATCACAAAATCATTCCATACATTATCTTAATAGTAAAATAATAAAATACAGTATAGATAATGTATACACCTCAAAATCGTACATTGTACGCCAAAATCGTAAGAGTAAACAGGTCTGGTATGGTCTTTTAAATTTCCCATCCCTGTTAATAGATTTCATATAATAAAAAGATTATCTTACAATGAATTATTTGTAATATAGCCATAATTTCATGGTGAGATACACATGTCTAGATGAAACTTAACATTGAATGCTCTATGGCAGTGGTTACCAAACTGTTGATACTGCTTGGCACAAATTATATTGACAGTGGCTGAAAACTGCAAAATATGTACTTTTCTCTCAATATTTAACAGTATATTAACAATAAATCGTATCCAGGAATATATTTTTTGAATTAATTACGAGAACACCTTATTTTATATAAATAGTTTTAATATAATTTGTTTAATCCAGATGTATGGTCAAATATTATATGGCAATGTTTATTTTTAGACTCGTTTTTAGCTCCGTTATTTGTATTTAAAAAAAAGTAGGAAAGAAAATAACTTTGCAAAATAAAAGCCTATAAATTTCATGAGCTTTATCTGCTTCAGTTGATTATTTAAATAATCTATTTTTTAATACTTTTTTTTAGAGATGAGTGGGGGTAATAGACATATTGGGGGGGGGGGGGGCACTCATACATAAAAAGTCTAAGCAAGGGGTAGGGAATAATAATTTTAAAAAAGTTTGCTCTATGGTAATAAAATTAGAAATGTTACAATTTTACTACAGAACACAAAAGCCTATAAATTTCATGAGCTTTATCTGCTTCAGTTGATTATTTAAATAATCTATTTTTTAATACTTTTTTTTAGAGATGAGTGGGGGTAATAGACATATTGGGGGGGGGGGTGCACTCATACATAAAAAGTCTAAGCAAGGGGTATGGAATAATAATTTTAAAAAAGTTTGCTCTATGGTAATAACATTAGAAATGTTACAATTTTACTACAGAACACAGCAATCCATGTTAATTGAAAATGCAGCTTACGGGCAATTGTTGATTTAAGTCTTAAATGTTAACTCATGCAGCAAGGATGAAGTGAAAGAAGAGAAAGATGGAGATGGTTCAAAGACCAGAAGCTCAGCTGACTTCCAAGCCCAGTTTTTGGAATTTAGCCAAAAACAGAAATCTGAAGCCAATAAAGATAAAGAAGATGGGGATGCAATGAAGACAGCAGAAGAGAAAGAGAAGGAGAAGACAGAGGTTGGCCAGATTGCAGCAATGTTGCAGGGAACAGAAGCAATGACTGCCAGGTAGGTATTTGGTAAAAAACACATTTTTGTTTAATATGATTGTGGATTAGCTAACAAATTGGCTAATTAATTAGCTAATGTGGATTAATCCTATCATATATAAGCTATTGATTAATACACATAATTAAAAATATTTCAGGCATACAAAAAATTCTGAAGATTTATTTACAGAATCAGATGATGCTAAGATTTTTTCTCATTCATTAATAAATATTGTATGGCTTGATAGAATAAATGTATTTGTTGGTCTAACATTGGCTTCCTCTTGACCAAGGAGTCAGTGGGTTCAAATTAGTCCAGAGTTGTTGTCACAGCCAGATTACACGATGTAGTTCTTCTGTGTCAGGTCGTAATGTTCGTGATATTATGTGAGTGAATGATGGTATTTTTTTCCTATTGTAATTTCCCCATTAATCACGAATTTAACTCGGCCACCACACCTGAGTGTTGTTAAAAAAAAACGTGTTAATGACGCTATATACATATTTGTGAGGGATAGTGAGTTTTATTTTTTTTTTTAGATAGGAATGAATTTATATTTTTGGATTGGCAATTATCATATTTTCGCTAGGAGTTCTGTTCCTATTTTTTTTTATAGAATGTGTAGGATTTTCGGACACCTATTTTATGCTTAACAGCAGTGATATTTTTTATGCATTTTCAACTGTCATGCATGCGAAGCCAGTAATAAAGAAACCCAAACCTTTCCACCACTTTTTGTTATTTAAATCATGCAACACATGAGCTCTGCAGGGGCTAGGACAGCGTTTCTCAACCTGTGGGTCACGACCCGTTTGTGGTCGAACGACCCTTTCGCAGGGGTTGCCAAAGACCATTGGAAAACACTTATACTGAACAGTTATGAAGTATCAACGAAAATAATTTTGTGGTTAAGGGTCACCACAACATGAGGCACTGTATTGAAGGGTAGCGGCATTAGGAAGGTTGAGAACCACTGGGCGAGGAGGTCATACAACACATGAGCTCTGCAGGGGCTAGGAGGTAATGCAACACATGAGCCCTGTAGGGGCTAGGAGATCATACAACGCATGAGCTCTGAAGGGGCTTGGAGGATTGATTTTTTTTTTCTGTGGCCATAACAAAGGGTCCCAACCTTTACACAGCATTCTTTTCACCACAGTTGTCTCATTAGGCAATTATGTCTCATTAGGCAATTAAGTTAACTATTCTTGTGAGGAGGAAACACTGGGTAAAACTCAGCAGGTCATTTACAGCTGAGAAAGTTTTTTTAAAAAGCATTTTAATCTAACATATGAGAAAATTGTTTTTATCGCTTTTGTCTCTATTAATATTTTTTCTATGACTTTTTTCAGGCTGACGGGCGGAGATTCAAGTGGAGCTGATATCAAACCACTTGGGATGGACCCGGGTGGATTGGGTCTTTCCAGGACCCAATTCATTCCCAATCTTGCATCACCACATATGCAAATGTCCCCATCTCAAATTCCACCTCAGCCGTCTTCTTCAGGACTTCCATCTCCCAAGGTCAGTCAATCCACACGGTCCAGTATTTAAAAAAAAAATCTTTAAAATTGTTATTTAGTTTTTTAATTTTGCTTTAAAATAAAATCCAGTTAAAGAAGTAGATTTCAGTTAATACAAAAAATATGTTAAAAAAATATATATATATAAAAATTTAAATTCACTCGATAAAGAACATGTAAAAATCTATTAACTTATCACATTTCATTTTTAAAATTGATGGCTCTAACAATTAATTTAAAGCAGTGTTTTGCAAGTGATTTGCAAGATTTTATATTAATAAAGATTTAAGAAAAAAGTTGTCAGTGGGAATTTTAGCTTAAGGTAAATTGATCCGGTAAACTCATTGAAAAATAATTTTCTTCCCAACTGTTTTGCATGGAAATGGCCAAAAATGAATTAGTTGGTGCGTAGACGGAACTCAAATTATTAATTTTTAGTGTGTTGTAAGATCAAAGAGGTTGAAGAAAACCGCAGATCTAATGCAAAACAAAGTCTAATTGTGTATCCAAGTTTTGACATGAGTGGCTATCAATTTAAAAAAAAAAGATATGACAATTAAAATTTGTACATCTTTTGAACTAAAAGAAAGGGCAATTAAAATATGTACATTTTTCTAACTGAATGAATGGTAATGATACATGTTTTTACTCGCTCACAAGTTGCATTTAGAAAATAACCAAGTAAGAACATTTTAAGCAGATTATGCACTCTCCAAGAAGTGGACAACCGTCACCACGTACTCCAGGGATCCAGTCCCCATTCAATGCCTTGTTAAGTGGACGTCACTCAGCTTCTCCCCACAGTCAGCCCATGACACCTGGCGGCCCGCAGTTGTCCCCCTTCTCCACAGGGAATGTTCAGATTCCTTTCAGCCCACCGTCATCATCACAAAGCTATGGCCAGGGACCGGGGTCTGCACCGCATTCACCATACCCCATGTCATCACAACCGTCATTTGCAAAGTAAGTGAAACTTCTGTCAGTGTTACCTTGGTGCTTCCCAAGTCCTTTGTCACGTAAGAATGTCCTCTTACAGAGCAAAAACTGTGCTGCAACCAAATAAGCAACCAAGTAAAACATGTGCTGCAATTTATTTTGAGTGTAGTGCCATAAGTCTCTACTATAAAAATTATTCACTATGATGCATACATTATAACTGACTACCATCGTACACGTAAATTTCAAATCTGTGTTGATTATGACAACATCTTTAGCTAAGCGTGTAAAATTAATGTGGTGTCAATCATGTAAAACACAAAAAAACAATATTTATTATATCAGCAGAATGTTTTGATTGCAGCCTTTAAAGATTCTGTTAACAAATTTGACTTGTGGTATTTTTATCTTTTCAGTCATTAATTTATTGAATTAATGGAAATCTATTTTTAATTATTAACCAATAATACTTTTTAAGTGGAATTTTACATTTTTTAAATCAGGTCTTCCAATGTCACTGGCACTTGTGGTAACAGATTGTTATGTCATAATGCTTCAACAATTTTTTTGAAAGATTTTGAAAACACCTTAATTACAGTTATTTCAATTTATTTTGTTGACTCCGAGCCCTCTTAACCAAAACTCCCATTGACTACTTCCTTTTAATGTTACAAAATTATTTACATTTGAGCCTTCAAAAAGTCAAATTAAATTTTTTAAATACATTTTTTTGTTTCAACCATTCATTTCAGCTTGTCACCAGGACCACCACATATGATGTCACCTGGGTATCCAACAGGGGGCATGGTTCCAAGGGGCCCGGGGGGCTTTAATCAGATGGGCCACCCTGGAGGTCCCAGAGGCCCCCCCATGTATGGACAGCCTCATGGCATAAGGTACAGTTATTTCACGACATTCATTTTTGTGTCCTTTGAGAAAAATTTATTACATCTGGTGTGAGGTCTGTGTTAAAAATGTTTTAATTCTATGCAGGAGGAATGTTCTGCTTATCCTTTATGAAATGTCCAGTTTTTGTGGCATAATTTAACTGGAGGTCCTACATGCAGTGAAAGGTCCTATATGCAATGGCAGGATCTTCACCCAATTTTTATGATATAATGATTATTCAGGTTCTATACCCAAGTATGTAAGCTTCTTATGAATGAATATGTTATGTGTTCTGTTTTCAGTAAATACATTATTTTTCTTCAACTTTGTCCTATCCTAAACTTATGTTAATTATAATTTTTACTTCAGGCCTCAAGATGGACAGCCTACCAGGTTTTCTCGTCCTGTAGATGGGGGCATAGAGGGAATGGAAGGACTAGGGCCCCGCATGTCACAACCTATGGGTATGCAAGATGGCCGTCCACATCCCATGTATCAAGCTATGCCACCTAGAGGTGATTTCAAAACCTCTTGATCCTTACTTACAAAATATCAGTTTTTAGAAACAAGTCTAATAATAATCCACTCATTAATGGTTCTCACCTATTCGGGTTACACATAGCATCCAGTATTGCTCAAAACCAATATGAAATGTTTTGAAATTTCAGGCATGAGAGGCCCTCCACCACCGCAGTCCCCTACTCATCCTGGCATGCAGCAGATGTCCCACATCAACCGGCAGCATTTCCCTGGCCAGCCTCCAAGACTTTCTCACCCACCACAACCGGTGAGGGGCATGGGTCCCCGCCAGCTGGGACCACCATTTTCAGGAGGCCCACAGGGTCAGGCATCCACCTTGCTGGATGAACTTCTTGAACAGGTAGGTTTTAGTTAATTTAAATATCCTTAACAGATTTCCTTAAATACATTGTGTTCCAGACTTACCTTTGAAATTATTTAGTGTTTAACTGAAGAAAAACTAAATATCCTGATTACTCTATAAATGTTTTATTTGTGTGAAGGTTGAAAAATGGAATACGCATTGTCAAAGTTATGTTTTCACCCAATTTTCTGTTTTTGCAAAGGAGAAGGAAGAACAGAAGCGTCAGTCAGAGCAACAGGCCATGATGCACAGGAGAGAGGTGGGAGGAGAACAGGGCATGCCCACAGGTATGCCACCTGTCTCAGGTGTTGGCCCTCCCCCTCATAGCATGGGGGCAATGCAGATGAGGATGGAGCATCCAGGTATGCGTATGCCTGGCCCACCAGACAGTGGAGGAGGATGGAACCCATCACCCGATAACATCCAGTTTCAACAAGGTTTGTTCACTTCTTTCTTGTTCTTTAAGTTGCAGGTGTCCATTTTCTTTGCTGTTTAAAGGTCATGCACCACTGGTTGGTTTGATTGTTGGTCAAAGGTAACCCACCCCTGGCTTAGAGAAAGGCACTTTTTAAAAAAAAAATTTGGAAGGTTTGAAACTGAAACCGGTTATGTTGATCATTATGACTTTGGCATATTATATACAGGATTCAACCCTCGCATGATGCATCCTGGGATGAACCAGAGGCCACCCATGCCTTTCCAGGGCCCGCCAGAGATCAGGGGACCAAGTCCAAATAATGCTGTACCTCCAGCTGGACATCAGATGCCCATTGGTCCTCCTACTCCAGTTAGTCCACCAACAGGTTGGTGTTCTTCCGTTTTGAAATCTGAAAATTTTATTTTAATTCCTTATATTTACACACACACAAAAAGTGATAACAGTGCACTCTACTACTAGAAGCTTTTACATTTACAGACCTGCCAACCCTTCCGATTTTGTTCGGAATATTACAAATTTTTTACCCCTCATTCTGATTTTCGACAAACCCCTAAATATTCCGATTTTTCAAACTTAATAACCCATCATAAAAATTCGAAAAAGAAAAAAAAAAATTCTGTACGACAGGAAGTGTTGCATTTGTTTTAACAAAGTGTCTACATATCTGGCGACCGGACGAATAAGTGAATAAGTTCTCGAGATATTCGTCCGGCTACTAACTACTATATTTGACCAAATCACATGACCAGCGTAACAGTGTTGCGCGAGATATGTGAGATATATTTGTCCGTCAGCCTTATCATGTGACCACTAATTGTCGATCAGAGTTTATGGTACTTCATTTCAACAAATTCAAGATAGTCTGAACATATACATGAAAAAGAAATATGTTCAATTCTACAAAAGAAGTACCATTGGTATATATAATGAACAATTGGTTAAAAAGTGACAATGTTTTTTATGAAGTGTGGCATGCCCACAGGATGAATATCTCCTGCACTATTTGTCCTGTCGCCTGATGTGTAGACACTGCTTTGTTTTTGTCGAAAGTGAACCATGATCTCCAAATCATTCTTCAATCATCATTGATCTGATCGGCTAAAAAATAATTCCGACTTTTTTTTGTTATAGCTTTTCTTAATTAAATGTTTAAATCTATTAAAGTGGTGGGTACAATGATATTAATAAACTTATAAACATATTTTAACCCACCCAAAAAAACAAAAACATACAACTGCAGCTAAAACTAAAAGTAAAAATAATCCATGTCTAATATTAATTAAAAATTTCTTTGCTAAGGAATTTGACGATCATATCGTTTTATTTACCACTTTTCTTATTGAAGGAAATATTTCTCTAGCCAAATTTTTTGACCGCCATAATGTCTGATGACGGAGAGGCGTGCCGCGCCGCCCCCCCCCCCCCCCCCCCCCCCCCCTCTCAAGATTTTAAAATTCTCACAGAATTTTTTTATTGGAACTATTTCAAAAATATTAAAATGGAAGCAAAGATTTCAGAGATTTTCCATTTGCAAGTAATGACAGCATAGGCTCTAGCGGTAATGTCGATGTTGACAATTTTATCCTTAAGCTTCTAGTCGTATTGTTACAGACCAACTCATTTGGGAAAGAGTGGTAATGGAATAGAAAAGACAAAGATTGGATCCCAAAGACTTCTCTCAAAGATATTTATGTTTGTTTATGTGCTGGAATATTTATTAATAAAAAATGGATTTAATAACTTCAGTTGAAAATTCATTTCTGCTTTCTCCCTTGTATTTTGTATCACAGAAATTTGAAGGTAGTGGATTGAATTCAGAAGTTGAGTACTAAATTTTACTCACTCTGTAAAGGACAAGGTCAATATCAACATACATAATATAAAAACAAATTATTTTCATTCCAAAAGATACCTTGTCCAATGTACTTTCAGAAAATTCTTGTAAGCGAATTAATTTATTCTAGGATTTTCGTCATTTTTGACAAGCATAGGAAATTCCCAAAAATGGCTTGATTCTATAAAAAAAAAATTCTTGACAGATATGAATTTAATCATAGTTTGAACCTTTATTTGTTTTACTTTATCACTGCACTTAATTTTCAAAATAAAAATTCTGATTAAATCAAAGCCCAGAAGTGAGCGTGTGGTGCTATAAATAATTGTCAACTGCTGAGCCCAATTCAACCCAATCACAAGACAATTTTAAAATTGTAATGTTATTGTCTTTCTTTTTTTAAAATTTAGGTGAAATGGGTCCTGAGTATGAGAGACAAGCTGCTCAATATGAAGACTGGCTTAACAAGCAGGCTATTTACCTGGAGAGTCAAGTCAAAATATTTGAGGGACAGGTCAACAAACTTAAACGAAGCAAGAAGACAATTCAGGCCAGGCAAAGATTGGTGAGTCTTATGAAAGTAAATTATATGTCAAGTAAAGTATCTTTCTTTAAGCAATATAATTATTATTTTCAAAGACTGGCAAAACATGAAATGATCTTTGTTCCATCATTTTAATTTAATTTTAACAGGGTAGGGATGACCAATCAGAGTCCAAAAAACATCTAGACCAACTATTTTGGGTAGTTTATTTTATTAAAGGCATTAAGTAAAAGCACAATGTTAAGTGCTGCGCCAAATTGTTAACGGCGGTCACAAAAAGATGTATAATCTTGTGTTCTTACTTTGGTAAATGAACAGGCGGCTTATAATAAACTGTAAACTTATTGATCACCATGTCATTCACCTCATAAATTTAAGAAATGAATTACTTGCTGCAATCAACTTTTAATCATGCAATATAATTATATAATGATGTGCCATATGATGAATTTCATATAGTTAAAATGAATTAGTTTGAAAACAGTGGAATTACATTTTTGATTTGCCTAAAAAATGGAAGTATAGAAAACAATTATGCCCAAAATCTAAAATCTATATTTGGAAATGGACATACTAAAGTTTATGCCCTACAATCTTAACACATTGATTAAATTTTAGAGGAACAAAGAACATTTTTTAGCGTATTAACTCTTTCCATGCCAGGGGGTTTTCCCCAGACCAGTTTTCGGCTAATGGAAATTTTTTAGGGTGTTCTTATCTATTAATTAATTTTGAATACATTACTTTCAGCAAGATGGCTGTATTTCATATCAAATTAAATGAAAGTAGACAGAGAATAATATGTTACAGTTAAAACAATATGACAACAATAGTTTAAATTTTACTGGTTAAATTATGAGATCAAATTTTTAATTTTTTAAAAAAATGCGCACCAAATTTGAACTTACTAGACTACCGTCTACCATGTGGTTTGTGTAGCTGGTATCCTATTCTGCTTCAATCCTCAGAAAGTATATCCATTTTTTATCATAATTCATTTTACATTTATTTTAAAAATATTCCATTTAGTGACAGAGTTATACCTATTTTTGTAACGTTAGGAGTAGTGTTATCTGAATCCTTACTGTTGCCATGGTAACAGGGGGTAATAAGGGGAGAGATTGCAATCAGGTTAGTACAAAATAAAATGAGTAAAACAGAGTATGGTTAAACCTGAAAAATTAAACGCAACAAAACAGCGAACGTGTCGGCAGACACGTTCGCTGTTTTGTTGCGTTTAATTTTTCAGGTTTAACCATACTCTGTTTTACTCATTTTA